CAAATTTAAACACACTGAAAGGTCAGACGTGATTTGGGAATTATAAGGACAAAGTAATTGGTTAGGGAAAACCCAAGGCACTAATTAAGAGGCTTCTATCTACTCACAAAATTTTTATTTAAAATAAAAAAAATCACAATTTCTTTTAACTTGCTAAGGGTTCAGAACAGAACGAAACCCGTCATAGGGGTCCGTCTGATCCCAAAGCGGGGGGGATTTGGAGTCATATTTCCCAACACCAGAAGGGGCAACATTTAAACCAAATGAAATATTTTTTTCTGGAATCCCCCCTTTTAGCTTTTCCCCCCCCCCCCAAAAAAAAAAAAAACTTTCTCCCTTGAAATATGGGATAATTTTTTCGTTAAAACTCGGGGAATTTTTAACCCAGGATTACCCAAGAAAGTCAAGTAGTGAGGTTTATTTCCGTTGTGGTCGCCAGGTCCTTACCCAGGATGCGCCGCCTCACGACTCTTGGTGTCTATTTACAGCTACGTGAAAAATATGGGCAGCAAGTATTAGGAGACTTTCCAACGTTTCGCCTCGCCAAAGACTGAACCTTTGTGTTTTCCAGTTGTGAACATAACGTTCTTTAGTCTAACATTTTGAAATATAATTACGGACATCCTTCCCATATTACAGTACTTCATATTTCTTTTCCTTCACCCCCTTTTTTTTTTCTCCGCCTCCTGTGTATAATTTCTCTTATCCCCGCTCTGGAATGTTGGAGATATCGTCATAATTATATTTTTCCTGTGTATGGGATAGGCTATCTTGAGAGATGGTAACTCCCAAGTGAAAGCAAGTCCAGCAATGCTGGAAGGAAAGTTTTGAAGTTACCGTAGCTGATGAACCCTTGCTGGAGTGCTTGACGATATCCTCGTAGTCCCACTGAAGTCTCCCAGCTTAGGTTAACAGATTTCAACACAGCACGAGCCTCATCCTGCGCGATTTAGTATGATAGGGAAACATAACTAGCTTTTATCCTCATTGTGTAATTCCAGTATCATGAATTCATTTAACATCACAAGACCAGTATGATATATGTTTTTCCTGTTTTCATGCCAAGAGTAGCAGGAAGAGTTGGAGGCGAGCCTTCTGTTTTTTATCCTTGTCTCATACACATACATAATACACGGCAGTCCTTAATAGTCCTTAACGAAATAGAAGTAGATAGTTCTTAGCAAATAACCTAAATTTAGAATTACAAGCCCTGGTTACCTGGAGGTTATTCCGGGGATCAACGCCCCCGCGGCCCGGTCCATGACTAGGCCTCCCGAATGGATCAGCGCCTGATCAACTAGACTGTTCACTGCTGGCCGCACGCAGTCCAACATACGAGCCACCAGCCCGGCTGATCCGGCACTGACTTTAGGTATCTGTCCAGCTCTCTCTTGAAGGCTAGTCAGGGGTTTATTGGCAATTCCCCTAATGCTTGAATGGGAGGCTGTCGAACAGTCTTGGGCCCCGGACACTTATGGTGTTTTTCCCTTAGTGTACCAATGGCGCCCCTACTTTTTATTGGGGGCATTTTGCATCGCCTGCCAGTCTTTCACTTTCGTAGGGATGATTTTCTGTGTGCAGATTTGGGACCATTCCTTCCAGGATTTTCCAAGTGTAGATTATGATATATCTCTCCTCCTGCGTTCCAACGAGTACATAGTCAAGTGCTTCCAAGCGTTCCCAGTTGTTAAGGTGCTTGACAGAACTTACGTGCAGTAAAGGATCTCTGTACACTCTCTGGATCTGCGATTTCACCTGCTTTGAATGGAGATGTTAATGTACAGCAGTATTCCAGCCTAGAGAGAACAAGTGATTTGAAAAGGATCATCATTGGCTTGGCATCTCGTTTTGAACGTTATCATTATCCATCCTATCATTTTCTTTGCACGTGCGATCGTGGCACTGTTGTGATCCTTGAAAGTGAGATCCTCACATATTACTACTCCCAGGTCCCTTACATTATTTTTCCGCTCTATTGTATGGCCAGAGTCTGTAGTATACTCTGTTCTAGTTATTATCTCCTCCAGTTTTCCATAACGGAGTAGTTGGAATTTGTCCTCATTGAACATCATATTGTTTACCGTTGCCCACTGGAAAACTTTGTTTATATCTTCTTGGAGGTTAACCGCGTCCTCAGCAGATGACAGCCTCATGCAGAACCTAGTATCATCCGCAAAGGATGATACGGAGCTGTGATGTATATCTCTGTTTATGTCTGATATGAGGATAAGGAACAAGATGGGGGCGAGTACTGTGCCTTGTGGAACAGAGCTCTTCACTATGGCAGCCTCCGATTTAACTCTGTTGACCACTACTTTTTTGTGTTCGATTTGTTAGGAGTTGAAGATCCATCTCCCCACTTTCCCAGTTATTCCTTTAGCACGTATTTTATGGCTATTACGCCATGAATCGCATTTGTCAAATGCTTTGCAAAGTCTGTGTATATTACATCTGCATTCTGATTTTCTTCCAGTGCATCCAAGGCCATGTCATAGTGATCCAGTAGTTGTGAGAGGCAGGAGCGGACCTGCCCTGAACCCATGTTGCCCTGGATTGTGCAGATTTTGGGAATCCAGGTGATTTGCAATCCTGCTTCTTAGCACTCTTTCAAAGATTTTTATGATGTGGGACGTCAGAGCTATTGGTCTATAGTTCTTAGCTAATGCTTTGCTGCCACCTTTATGGAGTGGGGCTATATCCGTTGTTTTAAGTGACTGTGGAATTTCACCCATGTCCAAGCTCCTCCTCCATAGTGTACTTAGGGCACATGCCCTAATGAAAACAGAGTTCCACGAATCTGGGCCCGGGGCTGAGTGCATGGGTATGTTGTCAATGGCTTTTTCGAAATCTATCGGAGTTAGGGTAATGTCGGAAATCTGGCATACATTTATGGAGTTTTGAGGCTCATTTATGAAGAAATCATTTGGGTCATCGATCCTCAGACCAATTAGTGGTTCACTAAACACAGAGTCGTACTGGGATTTCAATATTTCACTCATTTCTTTGTTGTCATCTGTGTAAGTCCCATCCTGTCTGAGTAAGGGCCCGATATTAGATGTGGTATTTGCCTTGTTTTTGGCATATGAAAAGAAATATTTTGAATTTCTTTCAATTTCACTAATAGCTTTAAGCTCCTCCTGTCTCTCCTGGTTCCTGTAAGAGTCATTTAACTTAAGTTCGACAGTTTCCACTTCCCTGGTCAGCGCCTCCTTTTCGTGTATCAGATATTCTAGCACTCCTGAGGAGCTCAGTGATTCTTCGTCGTCTTCTGTAGAGGGAGCGTCTTTCTCTCTCCAGTTTACTCCTGCTCTTCTTCTTTCTTAGGGGAATATGCCTAGAACATGCTTCAGCTGCCAGGAAGTTGATCCTTTCAAGGCACTGGTTTGGATCCATGTCATTTAAGATATCTTCCCAACATGTTTCGTTTAGGACATGGTTTACCTGGTCCCAGTTGATGTTCTTGTTGTTGAAGTTGCATTTTGTGAAGACACCTTCACAGGTACATGCAATCTGTTGATCAGGACCCCTATGCATGTACGTCTGGACTTCGATTAGGTATTATCTATCTTTCCCACATACTCCGCTCCCAAGAGTAAGACTTCCCTCTTCAGAGACAGATTTATACATACATAAACACATAAACATCAACAGCCTCTACCTTACCATCAAACACCATCACTTGTAGTGACGAATAAGACACATGTGCAACACTTAGGTATCTTTATTACCTGCAGTTCAGATAATCTGAAGTTGCACAAGTGTCTTACTCATTAAATTATCGTTATTGTACACCAGGCGTGTAATAGAGAACTCTAGCACAATATGACGACACCAACAACTTTATCAGCTTCCCCCTCTCCCCCTCCCCCTCCCCCCTTCTCCCCCCACACATGTTATCATGTTTCCCCAGTAACAGGTTTTACCAGCTGATACTTGTAATACCACTCGTCATGTCAGAGGTGACTTCTCTTAGTTATTATTACTTTAAATAATAGTATTAGATTTATTATTATTATTATTATTATTATTATTATTATTATTATTACTAACACAAAACCCCTTTAACAAATACGGTTATGATTATAAGCATTAGATATATTGCTCTTAAAAAAGAAATGCTCTGCATAACCAGTGGCTTTCTATAAAGTATCACAAAAATGTCAACTATTCCTGCATCAATTACCTGGAGTTTACCTGGAGAGGGTTTCGGGGGTCAACGCCCCCGCGGCCCGGTCTGAGACCAGACCTCATTATATAACTTTATAGAAATAAAAATTATTATTATTATTATTATTATTATTATTATTTTTATTATTATTATTATTATTATTATTATTATATCTTGAGAAAGCATGTACTGACACAGGTGAGTACATGCACACAGGTGAGTACATGCACACAGGTGAGTACATGCACACACAGGTGAGTACATGCACACACAGGTGAGTACATGCACACACAGGTGAGTACATGCACACAGTGAAATACATGCACACCAGGTGAACAAAGCACACACAGGTGAGTACATCACACACAGTGAGTACATGCACAACAGGTGAGTACATGCACACACAGGTGAGTACATGCACACAGGGAGTACAATGACACACAGGTGATACATCAAGCACAGGTGAGTACATGCACACACAGGTGAGTACATGCACACACAGGTGAGTACATGCACACACAGGTGAGTACATGCACACAGGTGAGTACATGCACACACAGGTGAGTACATGCACACACAGGTGAGTACATGCACACACAGGTGAGTACATAGCACACAGGTGAGACATCACACAGAGTCAGTACATGCACACAGGTGGTACATGCACACACAGTGAGTACATGGCACACAGGTGAGTACATGCACAAGTGAGTACATGCACAATGTAGTTACATGCACACAGGTGATGTACATGCACCCCTACAGGTGAGTACATGCACACACAGGTGAGTACATGCACGCACAGGTGAGTACTTGTATATAGAACACTCACCTGGAAAAGCATCAGATTCGACGGAGGTGATGCTGTTGTTGTGGAGATCAACGTACTGGAGTCTGTGACCGGAGGTGGTGAAGGCCTCAGCCTCCAGTCTCCACAAGTGGTTGTCGAAAGCACTGACTATCTCTAGCTCGACCAATCCCTCGAATGTACCTGCCGGAGCAAAGATTTGAGAGAGAGAGAGAGAGAGAGAGAGAGAAGAGGAGAGAGAGAGAGAGAGAGAGAGAGAGAGAGAGACCTATCTGCAGCAACTTTATGAGCAGAAAGAATTTTAATATCCATCGACAGTCATTCATTCCTCTACTTGTAAAATATATACAGGAACTCTTCGCCTAACCTCTGTTTTATTATTATTATTATTATTATTATTATTATGATTACATTCACAAAAACGCACCGTAAGGGTCATGCAGACCTATTAAACTTTTAAAAGAAGTAAGGCAAAAAATTGTGATGGTAATTACCTGGGGTAATTTCTGTGAGCTCGATGTTGTTAGCAATGAACTGAGTGAGGTTGGTGAGGCCGTGGAGGGTGTCGACTGGAAGGTTGCCCAGGGAGTTACCGTGAATGTTGAGAACTTTAATGCTAGGGGATGAGAGCGGTGGTAGCTCTCCCAGCAGGTTCTCAGAGAGGTCGAGGTATTCCATGGCCGTATAGCTATTCATGGTACCATATGGCAGATTAGAGATGCGGTTCTTTGTCAGGCTGACAGTGACGAGGGTACCAGCGCTGCCTATCAACGTAGCCTCTCCCATTTCCTCCAGAACACCTTGGATTATGAACACGTTTATGAAGGTGACATCGCTGAACACCCCATCCTCCAGAATCCTAACCTTCTGGTTGTTCTCCATGTTGAAGGAACGAAACGTCGTGGATGGGAAATCTGCCAGGAACACCTGTCGAAGCTGGTCCTCGTCTTCCACGAAAGAACAGTCTATGTCGAGGTATTCATGATTGTAGAAGCTGCAGATGCATGGAGAGATATCTTCCACGATCGGGCACCCAACTTCCTTGGGAACTCCTCCATGAGGCTCGTTTCCATGGCAGCTCCCTGTCAGAAGAATAACAAAAACAATCAGGCGGACCTCCATTACGTTTCTACTGTCTTGGTGAAGTGAACGACAGGCAACTGAGCAGTAGCAATACTGCCACCAGTCACACCCAGTATATCACAGCTTCCTGATAATTAATTTACCAATCACAGAGTGATGTTAAGTTCCCAGGGACTCAGACATGGGAAGAAGTATAGCTACTCAAGTGGCAACCAGCTGGCCTCTCCCACCAACCTCTTTATCAAATGGTCATTTCCCCACTGAGGAGTTGCTAACCAGTAGCATGAGAGACACTATCATAATTCAGAGGAATTCGAGAGCATCCTCGAAAATCTGGAAGGCAGTAGTGAATTAATTATTCAGCGTCTTAATTCGTAATACACTGAAGGATGCAGATGAGTGTATTGCAGCGTTGACAGAAAACTAATTTGTCAGAGAAACTATTGTCTCACTTTACGTCACTGTAACCAGATATAAATATGTAAATAGTTCATTACCAATGTAACATTACCACTGTAACATTATCACTGTAACATTACCCCTGTAACTTGCTGATATATGAGGAAGTTGGTGTCCAGTCCATGAATATATTATGTGCCTCTGTTATCTTTTGACTACCACCCACAGAATGGATGTGAGGATGCATAAAAAACTATTAAACTAACGTCATTTAATGCTGCGAAAAAGAATCCATGAATTAAAAGACAACTCACTCGCAAAATGTTCAAGAAATGTCATAATATTTAATCCACGGTGTCATATTAATAGCCATTCTGGAAATATGACCTGACTCTATCTACTGTAAATAATTCCTAACCATTAAACTTGTCTAAGTTCAACCATACCTTACTAAAATATCAGCTACATTATAAAGTTTTCGTGACTAAATTATTACCCCAATTAGTGTATGAAAACAGTAGATATCTAATAATTAAGAAGCCCTCATAAATTTTCACTGTATACACCAAAGCGATATTTAATGAATGTAACTGTTGGAATATATGTACAGCAGCATATTATTCAGCTATGAAAAACAAGATTTTTTTTTTTCGAGCAGGATAGCCCAATAAAGTCAGTGTGTCATAGGAGACTATCTGTCTTATTTCCAATGGACTCCTTGAAACTTCACCCCCAGGATGCGACCCACACGAGTCGTCAAACACCCAGGTATTTACTTATTGTTAGGTGAACAGGGACAGTAGCTGTAAGCCAATATGTCCAACGTTTCGCCCGTGCCGAGGCACTATCCATAATCCCTCGGTGTGTGAGCTAAGGACATTACCAAACGAGACACTACATATACAAAGATTCCGATATATTTGCACCAATAACTCATTACAGTTGTGACCGGGTGTGGAAGTGTGAATTGGTCATCACTCTATAATTTGTTCATGATTGTAGCCATGTATAAACGTAAGTAACCATTTTTACAGGATTCATTACCTTTGTAACTTGTGAGTTCATTACCTTTGTACCTAGTTCAGCTATCAAAACTTTGGGGGCCCAGTCCCTGGACCCATTATGTACCTCTGTAATCTGTAAATACCTTTGTAACTTGTCATGATTGTCCTCTTCAAGGGGGGCTCCTTGGCGTGGTGAAGAGGCTCTTGGTCTGAGGAATTAGACCTGTCGGTCTTCTTCCTCAGACCGAACCTAATTACCCCCCATTCTCCCCTCCCCTATCCCATCCTCCCCATCCTCCCCTTTTTCCATTCCTCCTCCTCCTCCCCACCCCTCCCTTTTGCCCTTCCTCTTTTTGGCCTTTGGGATTTCTCCCACAGGCGCGCTAGTTCCTAGGTAGGGGAAAGGACACTGGGGTCCATCCCATTCCATTGAGGCTCTTGGCGGTGGCGTATTTGCCATGGAATCTGGATCACCGGGGGATGTCCATCCCTCCCCCGGGTATCCGGGAGACTTTGGGTGTCTTTGGGGCGCGGGTGTTTTGGAAGCCACCTTTTCGGTTCCGGGGGTGGGGGCCCCGAAGGAGGTATGCTTTGTGGGGGAAACCGGCCACCCTCTTTTGCCACTGAGGTAGCTCGGCAGATTGAGGTTGCTATCCCGGATTGCGGATTATTGGCAGAAGGGTAGGGTAGGGCCCGGGTTCCACTGCATCGCGTTTAAATGGTGCTGAGGTCCTCTTGGGCGCGGGGGGAGTTTTCCCGGCCCTTTCTTCCCCTGGGAACTATTCCTCCCCGTCCCCCCTTTTTTTTATTCTTTTTTTTTATTTTTATTTTCTTCTCTTCTTTCTTTTTTTTTTTTTAAAAAACCCAAAAAGAAAAGGAGTACCAAAACCTGGGGGGAAACCAATCCATAAACCCCATCCCCCCCGGGCCCTTTTTTGATACCGCAGCCCTTTCTGACCCCCCCTTGTGTTTAACCACTCTTTGGAACTCCTGATCCCCCTGCCCTTTTTGCTGGTGCTGTTTTCCTCCCCCTTTTCAGGTACGGGGCTTTCCACTGACTCCTTCGATTGTCTGAACTCCGCTCCCCTTTGACTTGCTTCCGGCTTCTCCCTCTACGGTCGGCAATTTTCAATCGCCCGCCCATTTCACGCGGCCCAAACCCGGCCTACTCCTAAACGCCAACGTCAACTCTGATGATGCCCTTTCGTTCCCTTTCCCCATTTATCGGAAAAGACCACACGTAAGCACTCCCTCCCCACCCTAGTTTCGGACCACACAATGGACTAAATTCTTTACAAAGCCCGATTCTTCTTTCCCTACCTTTCTGCCCAAAGTTTTGGGCCAAAGCGCTCCTCGTCATGTTGGTGAGATATTTCATTTCATCTCTAAAGGTGGTACGCGCATTGTCCCTGTCCAGAATGCTCCCCCAAGCCCATGTTTTTCTCTCCTTTTTCGAATATCGTTTACTACTCCTTTTACTATTAAAAAAACATCTTTCTCTCAATTCTTGTAGTGGTACTGTCTTCTGCCCCCATACCATGCCCCAACAGAATTTCCAGTCATGGGGGAAATGACATTTTGAACAGCGGGAACCCAGGATCCCCAATCCTAAAGTGACACTTATTCCTTCCCCCCCCGGGGGTGGAGACGTTACCCTTGCAATGTGGCTCGTTTAATTTTGACAGCGAAAACCCCCGCCCTCTGTAATGTCGCAGGAATCGGTTACAAGTTCAAAAGGTGATACCTACACCAAAAATGTACAAATTGCGGCGTTTTGGCCCCCCCAGCAAAATATTGAGATTAGGGCCGAATCCCAGTCTGTGGTGCTGACAACCATTCTAATACATCTTGCAGTAAACCCTCCATTGCCTTAATTGTAATGAAGCTCACCCTTTGTAACCCTGCCGTTGCCGGGTCTACTTAAATGAATGAAACCCTTTGCCCAAAGAGGAGAAGGTCCCCTTTGCTAGGGCAGTTACTATCTCCGCCCCCAAGGGGAGACTACCCCATGTTTCTTATTCTCGTTTTTTCCAAACTTCCCCCTACTTTGGGGTCCCATCTTCTGCACCCTCCTTGTTTTTACCCTCCCATAGCCACTCCGGCATCAAATCCTTTTGCTGCCCTTGGCTTAGTCCCGACACAACTCAGTCTTTCTCACATCTTCCCCGGCCCTTCCTCACAAGCCCCAGTTCGACAAGACCTCGTACGACACCTAATCCAAATCGCCCTCTACTTCTCAGAAGTCCAAAAAACCCACTTGCCAAATCTTCTTTGCCCTTCCCTTCCCTTTTTCCCACCCCCAGTTTACCTTTCCGTTCTGTCCTTCTTCCCCTCTCCTGGCTCTTTACAAGTGTGGAGATTTCCTCCCCCTCGTACTTGCCTTCCCCCCCCCGTCCCCCCCCAAGTTTCCCCCTCTTTGCCACCTCCGGGTTTTTCTGCCTCTTTGCCCCCCCCCCCACACTTCATCTCCATCCCTTACACTTTTCCCTCCCCTCTACTTTGGTACGCCATTTGTCCAATCTTTACTCCCCCTCCTCCTTCATCTCCAATCTGGTCTCTCATAATTTTGAATTCAGAAACACTTGAAGCATTTCAGAATATATTGCAGAGACTAAACCTTCAATGGACACTGATTCCCCTTCCTGTTCCTTTCTTCCCCTTTCCCCCTCTTCACAACCCCCTTCTTCGCAACCGGGGTCCTTCCTTCGCTGCTTGAATGCTTCCAAGCCCCCCATTTACTTTTCAACCCCCCTAGTCCTAGGTGCCTTTCCCCACAGATTCCTGGTATTTCTTTATCGCCAATCATGGGGCCCATTTACGTGGAATATCCGCGGCCTAGGGGTAAACGGGGGGGAGTTCAATGTTGTTCCAGGTTTTTCCCCCGTTGGGGCTTGCTTACAAGAACCAAAATTTTACTCGGGTGTTTTCCAACCCATTCAGGCATAATTTATTTTATTCTTCGGATCCTTTCTCGATGGGCCTTTAATGAAAGTGCCCTTTTTCTATGCAATGATATTCCGTACTGTCAACTATTTGTCATACCCCCGTGCATTACCTGCAGCCCCGTTCCACTTGAATAAGGGTTTACAATATGTTCTTTATATCTCTCTCCTTCTCGAGCTTTTCTATCCCAGACTTTGCCCTTTTTTGTTTCATCCTTACCACCCCACTTCTGTTTCTTGTGATTTTAATGCCCCCCCCATTTCCCCGGGGGGGGGGGGCTATTTGACCACGTGGCTCAGTTGGAGGCTTTTCTCGCCTCTCACCCCTCCCTTTTTAAAAAGGGTATCCCACCCCCTTTTTATCCTCGTATCATACTCTCTCTTGCACGACTACAGTTGCTCTTCCTCCCGCACTAGATTCACCGGTTGTTCTACCGGACTTACTGACAGCGCATTTTCCCAAACTTCTTACTTCCCTTCCTTTACCACCTTTTCCGTAGCCCTCGCTGGCATTTTTATGGGGGAAATTGGGATTTTTCTCACACTCATGCTTTTAGTGAGGTTCCTTCTTCATCCTCCCTTTATGAGCTCCCAACCTCTTCTGACGTCAGTTTATACCGCAGCTTTTTCCCTTCCTACCCCAAACCCCAGGCAGGGATTCTCAGAAGTGGTGCCTTGGGGGTCTCCGGGTTTTGCTCGGCAGTACGTTTGAAAAGCGCTGCATGGGGCAGGTACCCGGTAAAATTTGAACCCGAGAGA